GTCTTCGCCTGGTGTTGTCTGTCTAGTATATATAGTTCTCGTCTTCCCCTGTCTCGTTGCCAGATTGTCTTGTGCGTTCCAGCGTAAGATCATTTTTGTCATTGTCCATAGAGTTATTATCGTCCATAGAGTTAGATTAAGTATGTCGTTTTTGTAGTTTTTTGATAGTATAGGTTAGTTTATTGAGTCTTTGTTTTTGTTGCTTTATGTATTCAGTGTGTTATGACCTGTCTACATTACAACCATAGACTGTATATATAAAACCCTTTATTTTGATACTTTGTTTGTCTCTGCATCGTGCATTTGATTCCACGCCCTTGTACAGCCATAACTAAAATGCCCTTGACTTTCACTGTGTTCCATTTTATTATTTTACAGTCCCATCAGATCTGCTGCAGCATCCAATTACTGCACAGATTTCAGCCCATCACGAGCCAGCTGATACCTTTTCAATGATAAATGAAGTTTGTGCACCACAGTGCTACACTATACTCGCTACAGATTTAACTATGTAGATCACTCACAGTTAAGAACCTGAAGCAACAAATACACTCCATACACAGATCCCATAATGTGCCAAATGCATCAAGGACTGCGATGTTTCAAGCATGTAGAGTCTTGTTCTGACAGAGGAAGATAATATAAACCAGAAGACATTTAAGACAGCTGAATACACTGAAGGGCATTATTAGGAGTGTTGAGGAGATGGATTAGACAGGTCAACCTTCATAATAGTCTCAAGTACCGCTGTGATACTTTGAGTCCCATTGTGTTAATAACTCTGACCTTTTGTTTGGTGAGACCCATCCCTCTCCAAGTGAAAAATCCTCCGTTCACACAATTTGCTGCTATCTGGGGTCATTTGCTTTCCAGCAACAAGTAGGTGTAATGGCAAATACTCCAACTAACACAATAGGTATGATAATATCATATGAGTTTTATCAAATGAATGCCAATGAATAAATATAATAACAATCAATATGGTGCTGTGCATGACTGCCAGGCTCTTTGTTTCTTGCACTTTTCTAATTTAATTAATTTTTCTGTTTCTTTTTGCAATATTTGTATTGTCATATGTCTTAGGTATATTTGTTTTTGCATTGCTGGAGGAGACTGGGACTTAAGTTTTTGTGGTGAAATCTATAATAACTATAAAGTCTTTGAATCTTGAAAATATCACTCACCCTTTTCTTAAATCGTCTGCAAAACATGGTTTTCTATTAACAAGAAGTTTTTTCTTATTACTAAAAAGAGTGCTTTTCATTTCTGAGGCCTAACATGCATATAAATGTTCTGCTACATCATAAATATGTGAGACTTTCTTGGCTTTCAATGTCTACCGGGTGCCCTCAAGTAAGCAAACTTTAAAGAGTTTGAGGTGTGTGATCTGCTACTTCTCAATAAAAAACATTTTCTTTAGGCGACATAAAAGCAAAGTTGACATCTGCATCAAAATGTTTTTTTAAAATAAGAAGTTTTCTTCCTCCTCAAAAAGATATCTGACGAAGGTGACGAATGAAAAAAACATGTGTTAGGTCATTCATATCATAGAGAGATGTTTTCTTTCCCGTGTGCAGTCACATCTGTGACAGCAGCCTCTAAATTATTCCCACTAATAGACTGAGTTGCAAACAGTACAATGCCAAGGGAGCCATAATCTTTTCCACGAGCGACGTTCTTCACTGAGACGAGACCTGGAGTCAAGTTAACGATATTTGAAATTTTAAAAACGTTGTTGTCACTTCAATGTGGGGTTGTATCGGATGAGGAAAACACGCTGATATAGTGAGAGCATTTCAGAAGAAAGAATAAAAGTTCAGTCAGACAACTCACGTGTTCCTTTAACATGTTTATTAGAAGCAGCATATAGTTGAGTTTGGTGACTAGGCTCGGGCATCATCACTCCATAGATATACATAGCACGATGAGTGATGATTAAATAACTAACCCCCGAGCCTACAGGTGGAAGCTGGGGTGGAAGCTGGGGTGGTGGTGGGGCAGTCAAGCAGCAGCGACGTAGAGGTAGCTGCAGCAAGCAATGCATGGAGAGAGATCTGGCAGGTTAAATAGAGCGGCATATTAAGGAGACTCTGTTTGGTTGGTTGTAGAGTGGCAAGGGGGCGTTATGTATGAATGCAGCATAAGTGCTCGAGTTGACTGCCTGAACTAGCTCGCAGGCTTCGCCCCATTTCAGTCAGACAACTCACGTGTTCCTTTAACATGTTTATTAGAAGCAGCATAAAGTTGAGTTTGGCGACTAGGCTCGGGCATCATCACTCCATAGATATACATAGCACGATGAGTGATGATTAAATAACTAACCCCCAAAACTGCGTGGAGATTAGATACTATCCCCCAAAACTGCGTAGCCCGAGCCTGACGCTGGTGATGTAATACTGATAAGTAGAGGGCCTGGCGAGCTGCCATGTGGCCATTCCCCCTAAGCACAGCGGCTTTAAGGGGAATATACTACCTAGTGACTGCTATGTGAAGGCCCGGGAACAGCCGAAAAGCCATCCCCCTTAAGCACCGCGGCTTTGAGGGGAATATACTACCTAGAGAGACTGCTATGTGTAGGCCTGGAAGTGACCAGTGCCGACCCCCCCCCCCCCCCCCAGCACCGCGGCTTTGAGGGGAATATACTACCTAGAGAGACTGCTATGTGTAGGCCTGGAAGTGACCAGTGCCGACCCCCCCCCCCAAGCACCGCGGCTTTGAGGGGAATATACTACCTATCAAGACTGCTGTGTCTAGGTCTTTAAGGCAGTGACAATGAGCTTTCCCCCCCAAGCATGCAGCTATGAGGGGAATATACTATAATGAAATAAATATAATCTAACCCAGCAACCACCTGGTATGCAATAACAGAATTCTACAGATATACATCTTTGAACGTTACTCATCGTCGAGTAGTGCAAGAGCTCATGGTTGTTTGTGCTGAAAGGATCTCATTCATGTGAGGCATGATATAGCGCTGGTGGGCAGAAGATGACCGACGGCCCAGGATACTCAGGGTTGAGGTAGGCGGATATAGAGCTGCGGTTGTGGCTGTGCAGATTCTTAAACAGTGGGAATAGCGATCTGGGGGCAGGTCGCAGCTTAGGCAGAGATCACGCAGCTTGGAGGAGAACCCTCGTCGTTGGGTTTGCAGCCATCGAATAAACATGGGTGCCGACCCATGTGTCAGAGGGCAATAATGCGAGAAGTTCAGCATGGAAGATAAAGGACAAAAAAAACAGTGTTAGTTTTAGCAATGATTATTCGGGGTTCCTTGACTCTCCAAACAGAAATGTCAGACATTGAATGTTTCAAAAAAGTGTGTATATTTGATCTCCAAAGTTAATTCAGTAAGGGAGAGATTATTCTGAGGATTAAAAGGTGAGAGGTCTGTGTATATTCACCACCTGAGAAACCAATAGAAAGCTGTAACAACTGCCTCTGACGTTTATCAATGTATAGTGAAACCCCTTTGCCTGAACTTAGACATTAACCTTTGCACGGGTGCAAAGTTAAGAGGCAGTCTTTATCATTGCGTGGAGGACGTGCCTTCTTAAGGCCCTTGAGGAGCAAATGAATGAACTCTAGCGTGGCTTAATACTTAGCACTTGAAGATTGCAGGATTCGAATGAAAATACAATTAATGCATGAACAACTATTATATCTATTGCATAAGTACACAGAGGAGGTTGGGACAGAAGAAGATAAAGTACCAAGCTGAATTATATGCTTTGAATCATGCTCTTGGTTGGAGGCAGAATATGGGAAATCCTTGAGGGGCTTGACGTGTAGATCGAGAGTCATTTGGTTGAATGAAGGGCATGGCAAGCTGGTGGGGCAAACCACTCATTGTGAAATCCCCCGAACCAGCAGAAGGCGCAGCATCTGTAAGTAACTAGAGAGGATCTGAGGACACCGCAAGGTCATTATAAAAGAATGAACATAACTTTCCACTCGTCGCAGAGGGGCTAAGGACCAAAGATCTGAGCAATAGCCATCTCTAAGATTGCATTCATGCCGAATAGTCCGCGTCTTTACACCAGACGCAAGTGTATTACATCATTTCATTTGCAGAAGGTTGGGTTTGCGTTCACCCAGGCAACCTCAAACAGACTATGAACTGTAAACTAAAGTCATTGTACGGAGATGCTTTTTCAACAATTGGCGGGACATTAAGCGGATAAAATGCAGATCCCAGCAATTTCTACAGTAGCCTGCATCATGGAGCATTGGCAGGTTATTTTCATACTGCTGTTAATCTGGAGAGTGTATCAACAGACTCTGCGGCCGGCGCATAGGATTATAAATCAGACAACGTGCATTAAAAACATTATAACACATAATGAGACGTTATGCAGTGAGGAGGTTTCACCGATGACAGGTAGCTCTGATGAGATTGTACCACTGCCTTTCTCTGTACACAGGGGACCAGTGAGGTAAGCAGTCACCAGAATGAATGCATGACCCTATAGGTTACTGGATGTTGCACACAGCATCGATAGAAAAACAAGCGATGACACGCAAATAGTTGTTTCCCATGTTTTGATGCGGACTACGTCACACCAGCAATGAACCTCTCCAGAGTCTACTAGCGAGCGACCCGAGACCACCTCTTTTAGGCGGAGCAGAGGTATCGGACTGCTTCCACACCAATCCAACGAACCGCATCAAGGGGTTAACGCTACAGGGTCCGATTCAATAGTACTAACCAAGCAGGTGTGAACGTGACCTAAGACTATGGTGCCTTAAGGTTTGAACAGAAAGGCTAGCGCTTGTTCCTTATAAATATAAAACATCTCTTTTAGAGAGACTACCAGTGGGAGACCATAACTGAAGGCAGTAATCAGTATTGAATGTATTACAATTCTAATATGTAGTATAACGTAGAGCACTTTGAACATTTGGAAAGGCGCTAAATAAATAACATGAATTGTAATTATGGCTGTTGTGATGCGGGACAGCTTGTCTGGTGGCAGTAAAGCTTGCATCAGCACACTATCGTTGCTGTTGGGCAGAAACCTTGTGTCTCCATATTTAAACTATGTTTTTTATATTTGTAAATGTACTAATTCGTCATAGTGTTGTACAAAAGTAGTTCAAATAGATCTACAAGCTCCCAATGTCAAGAGCTTGTCGATTGGCTATTTCACAATTTTTAAATGTTAAAAATTATAAAAGGAACAATTTTGGACATACACGGTTTCCACCCGACGGTGACGATGTACAGTAGTAGTCACTGTCAGTTAAGAAGTTACATGTTTGTTTTATATCTTTTTCAATTTGCCGCAGATCTGCATGGTCCAAACTTGTCGCATTTTTCATTCACTCGGGTGAAGGGTTTCTGAGTGGTTTTGTGTCTGCTTAGGGGTCAATATAAACCATACTTTACACAGGTCTCTGAATTTATCAAAACTTTGGCGTGGTGCATATCTCTCACACCATGCATACTGTGTGCAGTCTTCTGAGTCCGCTGGTGTGGTACACTGATTTACATTACTGATGCTCATCCGGCAATTCTAGGTGGCTGTCACTGTTTGTTACATTAACCTGGGTTCTGTTTAGATTGAACCTGCTGTGCCACCTACAAGTCCTGATGTCCAACCAACTGCCACAACTCCACCCTCCATGGAGGACCAAACGGCACCTGTCGTACCAGCGATGATACCTCAAACACTACATATAATTCCACAATTTGTAAGCTCCACTTTTTAAGACTTGGGTTTCACTTTTTTCTTTAATCAACACTAAAGAGTAATAAACGATATCTGTGATGTTGTCCCTTCTTGCAATTTTCTCAGGATATCCGCCAGATTCTCACAGGCTCAACTGAAGGCAAGCTGATCCTGGGGAGCCTTGATGAGGATGTGATCATCCCTTCGCAAAGAAAGTGCCTTGTCCGTATTTTGGTGTCTCACCTCATGGAGAAGTTTGGAGAGAGGTAATTAAAAATAGTGGGTTTTTTTTCTTGTTTTTAGTGAATGTTATGTTAGTTTGAAAAAGGTATATGAATCTTCTTTCAGGGGAAAAGAATAAGACGGGACACTACTTTCAAGTCTGACCTTTACCTAGACCACCAACATAAACATGCACAACACATGTACCAAAACACACGTTCAGTAGTGTTTTTAATTTATTAGGATGCCTATTAGCTGCAGAATATGCTACAGCCATTATACTGGGGTGCAACACATGTTTTAGAAATACTTAAGATCTAATTTGACTCTGCTGGTAATTTAGTTTTTCTGTGTTTGCAGTCCTACCAGTGAGACAAAAAAGGCCTTGGCTGCAGCTTTGATTCATGGGTTTCCCTCCTTGAAGGACGAGTCGGACTCAAGCAGTGGCTTCGTAAGTAATTAACATTTTATTGAGGAATTGATGCTAAAACAGTCAGTTGAACACAATATAACTCATCTCCCAGCACCAGAGTACTGGACTTCTGTGCTGTTTGATGCCCGGTGTTGTCAGACAGACATACAGACAAACCCTGTTCTAGATGGCTCAGCCACATGTTGTCGCCACGCTATCAAAATGTGCCTTCACCAAAGACTTTCATTTCTTGACAGGGATACTGGTTCACCCCAGGACGGAACCGCCGCCCAGCCACTGGATTCCTCGAAGAGAGGCTTCGGAACGTCAGAAAGAGGATGAGAAAACCGGCCAGGTCACAGAGCACGCAGCAGACACCACCACAAAGTAGTGAAGCTGGCACTCGTAGGACATTCATACCAGGTAATCGTTGGAACTGAATAATTTGTTTAAGCAATACAGACATATAATTTGAGATTGTTAATATCCTTATGTGTACTTTTATAGAATGTACCATATCGGAAGAAAGAGCCATACAGTGTAAAGAATGGCTGAAACACAATTCGCAGCCCCTCAACCAGGTGGAGCAATATATGCAGGATACAGCAGTGTACAGGTCAGTAGGAATGCACTGAGGACACTAGCTGCAGCACTCATTCAATGTCATTTTGCCTATGCATGCACCTCATGGTACTGTAGCACCTCAAGTCATTCAAATCTGAACTACAGACTTCTCAAAACAAACTACTACTAGACCTCTCACACCTATGACCTAACCCCTGCTCATTATGATGCTATAGTGGGATGGCTCAGGGGAGGACAGAGTACAGCAACTTGCAATGGGCCTGGTTTTCAAGGGACCAGTGCCATGTACCTGTCAAAATAAAAGGGCACAACACCAGTGGGAGCTCCATTACTCTCTTCCCCCCCCCCCCCCCCCCATAATCGGCACAAACATGGGGATGAATGCATTTTACTATTATGCTACCAAAATGTGGAACACCCTACCACCAGCCATCAAGAAAGTGCAACTCCTTACCCTCCAAAACTGCCATACAAGAGCACCTGTCTGCAACTGCCCTCAGGGCTTTTTGTGATATCCTTTTAACATTCTTGTACTGCTGTACTTTCTGCAAACTATCAAACAGGGCCAAGTCTTTAAGGGAAAACGGGTGGGACATTCAAGGGATCCGCCAAGAGTTCCCACATCTATTCACTCCAGGCATGGTAAGTTAGGAAGGAGTATATGTTTACATATGATGTGGATGCATTGTTTATAACAATCTTTTATCAGTATGTCAGCTGCCACATTGAATTTTCTTTTTCAATTTTTCATTTAGATTGCACAGGACTTTCAGATCCTACATGGAGAGGCTGCGCCTAAGCTCTTCGAAACCTGGCTACCTTTGTTTAAAGACAAGATCCTGCACCTGGCGAGACGGGAAGGGAAACTTATCTCGTCGCTTGATGGATTAACACCCGGTAATACATTGTTATATTGTACAGCAGACTTTATTTTGCTACTAAATGACCAATTCACAGATATGCCATGCCACATATTGATACCTATAAAATTGTCTTCCTACAGATTGTTTGGGGGAACTTGCTCTGAGCCAGTTACCAACACTGCTTCCACCAACTGTCTACAGGGTTGGCCGAAAAGTGTTCCGGTACACTATCGAGGAGTCTAAGTTGGCCTTCATTGATCATAAGCCTGTAAGTCCCTCTGCATATCTAAAGGGAAATGTTATTCTTTTAATCACTTGAACCCAGCATCCATATTCTTGGGGGGGTGGCGGGGACATTAGCCAAACATGGCAGCTAGATCGGCTATTTTTGGCGAAGAGATTTGGTGAAGATGGAAAACAGTGGTCTAAAGTACAGAGCCAACCCAGGTCCAGTTTAAGTGGTTAAGAATGTGCCTGACTGCCTGTTATTCCTGGGCTCAAGAATAATTCAAAACATTGTTTCTGAATATGCATTGTATCAGCCACTGCCAAATCTTGCTTACTCTTTGCTTTTGCACCATCTTTTACTTTGTTTAATTTATCTTGTCTTTTGTTCTTTATTTCTTTCTCAGGTTGGAACAAACTTGGTGGAGTACCTCCATGAGGCGAAGGTGTCAAGACCTTACCCATATGTCCTGTCCCTGGGAAACGATATTTGGCACACCTCTCAGGCGTTCGTTATTCTTGATGGGGAGGCGTTGGAACAAAACACATTGCTTCAGGCAGTAGATGTCTGTTTCAAGGTATTCTATATCTTTGACATCGACTACACAAAGCAGTGTGAAGCTGTATGGAAATTCCTCCAAAATGCAGTGTACGAAATCAAGGGAGGAGAGGAGTCAAAACCTGCTACGTCCTTGCGTGCAGCAATACTTGCTTGCAAGTAGACTTGTGGTCTTGATCCTTTTATTTTCTTCTGCTGGTCCTCCTGTTCTATTCTCTCTCTTCTGCTGCTTGGCTCAGAGTAGGGTTCTATCTGGTTAAATTAAATATTGCTGGATTTGTGAAGTGTGTGTGTGTTATGTTCAAAATACTACCTAATGCTCAAAGTATTTTATGAGCAAGTTGTGTGCTAAAAAAAGAGCTAAATGGTGGAAGCATAAATTGTTAAAATGTTTATTTGCACATCTTAGTTTCCTGTAGTTCGGATCACCTAAAGGAGCAGTACATTGTTGTGATCATGTTGGAGGATTTTCTTTGTAACGTTTACATAGCCAGTATATGAACCAGTCATTTCTGAAAAAACGTATGTTGCTATTAGTGGTTCTCAAACCAGAGCTTGTAGATCTGCTAATGTGTGTTGTTTACAGGCTGTACTGTACATGCATAAATGTTAAGTTTTGTTTAAAGAAAGTTTTGCACTTTATTGTGAACTGAATATGTTTGCACTTTATTGAACTGTCAATTGTTATAACAATAAAATGAATATTTTTCTAAGATTCCAACATTGTTTAAAAACGTTTATTGCATATTATATTATTTGCATGACCAAATATAGGATGCATTTTAAAAGGGTTTGTAATTTAAATGTTTAAGAGACATGGGTATTGCATTAAAAACATGACGATAATAACTTGTAGAATTAACCCATCGCAGCTATTATGACCCAGCATTTGGGTGTAATATTTAACCCAATTCATGGTAGAATTAACCCAGGGCTGTAATTAATTTGACCCAGCATTTGGATTAAATGTATAACCCATCTGCTGGGTTAAAATACGCAACCCATTTCGTTGGGTCAAATTAACTACTGCTGGGTTGGTCCAATATTGATCCTGGCGTTGGGTTAAAAAACGACCCAAATTGGGTTGTTTTTAACCCAGCATTTTTTAGTGTGTATGTAGACAGATTAAACAAAAAACACTTACTGTACAATTTATCACATCCATCCCAGTATTTACAGAAACATCCCAGTACTCCATCGCATGATCATCCCTGTAGTCCAAAGGCACCTTTTAAGCAGCATTTATAGCTAACCACTAAACAAATATGGCAGGAAAAAATGGACTTGACGAGTCAAAATGCTATTTACAAAGTGTCATACCTACTGTACACACACTTGGTGGCAGTAAGCTGATTTTCTAAAAAAGTCTATAGCGCAGTGAAATGTATAAATTGTCATCAGTCTCGCTGAATGACTTCACTGCATGTAGGGGATGGTGATCAAGCAGCTCTCTCACATCAACAGCTGCCAAAACTTGAGTGGGAATCACACTGTATGCAAAGAAATGCCTATCAAACCATTGTGTTTCCCACTTCTGTACAACAAGTTTTATTGTTGGTGTGTGTGATGTTTGGTCTAGTACTAAAATGGACTTTATGAGACCAAATTGGGGCTCCCCATCTGGGTCATAAGACAGGAATACAGTCATGCCTGCTCGATATGCAGTTCCCTTAAAAGGTAACCAAGGCTGGTTCATACAATTCACTGAAAAGGGGAATGCCTGTTAGACCACTTTCGATGTCTTTAACTCCCTCAATGTTGGCCAGAAAGGTAGTGTGCCCTAGACCAACTTCTGTATTGTGGCTCAACACAGTTCCACACAGCAAATTATAGCACTGCGCTATCTGATGGCGAAAGGCCATGGTTTTGCAAATGTTTCGGAAGTTGCATGTTACATGGCTAACCCGTTTAAAAAAGTTGTGTTTCGCTTCGAATCTCATAGCCCAAAACTGAGTCAAGGGTCCGAGCTTTTGAATGGCTCTTGGGTAATGGAGCATGAAGTGGTGTTTTGGCAGCAAATGGTGAAGAGGATAGAGCTGCAGGAAGAGAGAGTGATGCTCTTCAAGGATTTTAGCTAAGTACAGTGTTGCTTCAACAGTAAGAGAAGGAGAGAAGATGAACTCCATACATAACAGTAACAGTAGGAGAAGTTTCCATTCCTTGCTATGCATGGGGACCAGGTCACCTATCATTGTCGGCAGCAACCTAAGTAGGCACCACATTTGAGCTGCTGATTGATGCATGGCGCCTTTAACCTTTTTTAGATCATCCTTACTAATTACAGAAGGTTTAGACCTCAGATGAGCTAAAAAAAGGGCTACCCGGTTGGTCATGTCATCTTGCCCTAGTTCATCCCATTCATCCTCAACTTCCTCATCTCCCTGTACAGGCTCATTTTCAGCAAGCTGTATGTCAACAGGCTGGGCTGGACCTTCAAGGGGATCATCGAGAGTATCACTTTGGTTTTCATGCTCCTTTAATAGGTGTCTTCTATAAGACCTTATAAAAGAAAATGTTCTACCACAACCAGTTTCACTACATTGGAAATATGTTGATGAATGGTTTACATGATGTACTGCACGTAAATGTTGAAAGAGAGTCTTGGCATCCCCTGGAATTTGCCTTTTGCATTTAAAGCAAATATATGCCATCTGCTCACAAATTTGAACAAATCCTCAGAATGAATATGCGTGTGTGGGGGAGGGGTGTAGCCTCTCACATCTGCAGTGATCTAACTATACTTACAAGTCCTCTACATTTTTTGAGGAACTTAAGCCTGGGGCCAGCTTTTGGAATCAATTGGCTGATGGTCCCCTCGTCTAAAAGAAGAAAACTCTCCTCGTCAATTCCCTCGTCTGAAAAACAAAAAACAAGGACATCTATTTAAACCATGGAGAACAGCAAAAAATAAGAGGCTAATTACATGGAAGCTATTGGAATAAAAATGCATTTTCAGTAACATAAAATACAATGCAGTCAATGCCATTTCAAATAATTCCTTTACCTAGCTATACAGACCATCTGCTTGCTGTGAACGTAAAAAAAAACATGTTCTTACCTTTAAATCTATCAATAACGTCTGTCAACTGCCACTGTGTCAACGTGTCACACACAACATCGTCCATTGATCTGAGACAAAAAACACATAAAGAGCTTAATTAAAACAAAACATAAAATGTACATTTGCATGACTTCAACCTCACTTCTGGGGCTAATTTATTCAGTTGATGAGGCTACTAAAACTGACAAATGTCTGCTTCTCCTATTTATTTATTTGTATTACCTGTTGTATTTAGCACACATGAGCCCCACTTACTATGGTTATTAGCATTGTATTTTATCTGCAGACTTATGGTTATATCAAAGCCTTTATTTTTATATAGAGTGATACACTTTTGTGACTGCTAGAAACAGGTCAACCCACAATAGAGCAAGATTAGTTAACCAACTACGGACAGCAGCCACAGGAACTTTTGCAGTCACAAATTGCTGTGAAAAATTGAGAGACCAATGAAAGTTAAGTTACAGAGAACCTGCTTTTTTTTACACCAAACCTTATCAGTCCCCTTATCAGACAGAGAGTGCGACTACCGACACTGGCAGAGCGGCATCCGTCACGTAACATTAACTGCAGAGCGAAAACCACAGTGGCAGTCAGCTCCGCATGGCAGCTAGCTCCGCATGGCAGCTAGCTTGGCAGCTACTTTACGTGACGCAGCCGAATAACGGCACAACATTCCTTTGTAAAAGGGGCTGATATTACTGACATATATAAGCGCCTGGGGTAGCACACTTTCCGTTTAACTTTCCCAGGGTAATGCTACCGTCCTTTAGTTTTCAATCCTGATATCCTATATTTGAACCATCTCCCTAACTGGCAGTTACACAGACTAGCTAGTTAACGACGTTAGCTTTAGCATGTTTGTCGGCTCATTCGGCTTTTTAAGTGAGATAAAAAATAACACTAAATAACAAATTAACTATCAACGTTACCACAATATCGCTCATGGACTAGCAGTTGATGACATTTATTAACAGCTTCACAGTTAGATGACAATGTGTTCTGCTTACCTCCTCCAACTTTCGCCAACGGTCTTTCTTGTCTCAATGATCCTCTCTCGCGATGATGATGGTTAAGTTTACGGTTATGCCCAAATATCGCGAGTGCACACAGGATGCAGGGGAAACCCTTTCCCGCCAGATCGCGGTCAAAATCAAACCATGGCAGAGTTCTCTTAATACATCCATGGAAGTGTCCAAGAGCAGTCAATAATGTAGCATGCCTTATTGTTCAAGCCATGTTTGTTGTTTCACATCTTTACAACCGTGAACATTTAAAAGTAGATTGATTTTTGTCTCTGTTTACATTAGTTGGTATCATAGACTGTGGTTGGTATCCAGTTTATTGGTGGTTATACCGCCACCTTCTGCTCTGGAGTGGGAATCAGATATACCCTAATCCCTTTGTCTCAGTTTATCTCAACATGAATGAATCTAATACATGTGAAATGGTTGCGATTCATGCAAACCAATACCCAATACCATAGGCGGCGCCGGCGCGTGAGGCTCAGGTTTGGAAAGGCTTAATCACTTTTTTTACCTGACGCTGCCCGCCTCCGGCATCTATAGAAAAGAGATCAACTCAGTGTGCAGAGTTTAAATCTCTCAAGTCATATTACAGGATAAAGGAAATACAGTTTAAACTGCCGTATGCAGAGAAGACGCCGACGTGTCGCACTTATCATTCATATTACATCATCAATCAGATCATCGATCATATAATATTATAATATATCATATATTTCCTTATCTGAGTCAGCTTCTCCAGCCATATCTGGCCGTGCAACACTTACAGTGTCACATACTGTATGCAGAAGTATTATTTTAAGCAATACATTATGTTCACGAAACACTCGAGTCAAATGTAATTAAAGTCAGATCTGGTGAGAGAAACCCTGGCTTGATTTACCGAGTTGATAACCAGCGTCGTAGGACCGCTTAGCGAGATCTCGTTTGTTTGTTTGTTACTCAAACATATCCAGGGTATGTTGAACTGGCTTCGTAGTACAGGGCTAGCGGGTGGCTAGCAGCGCTAATGTCAAAGACACAGACATTATACATTAGCCTATATTTGTATTTTACCAGGATGCAGTGACACAAATATTTGGGAAGGCTTAGCCTTCCCTAGCCGCTACAGCACCCGCCGCCCCTGCCCTATACCATATAAATAACCCAGAATGAGTTAAACATTTCATAACCAAATGGTTGGGTAGACAAAAATATTTTGACCCAGTACTTGGGTTGCACAAAAATAACCCAATACCATATTAATAACCCAGAATGGGTTAAACATTTCATAACCCCATGGTTGGGTAGATGAAATAACCCACTGTTTTTTAGAGTGCATGCACCTGAACGTGTGTCGTGCGGGAGCTGTGGCTCGTTCCAGCGGCGTCTGAACCATGCTCTGAGCTAGCCTGTGTTTCGTGAATGAGGCATTTCTTACGGCTTCTTGCGTATGATGATTCGGTTCCAGAGTCGGAGATTGCAATAGACATTTGCAAGGACAGCACCGGCAGGCAAGCAGCAGCAACATGAAACACAGCAGCAGGAACATGAACGCAGCATTTGCAAATTAACGCAGCAATAGCAAGTGAACGCAGCAGGCAAGCAGCAGCGACGTAGAGGTAGCTGCAGCAATAGCAGCAGCAAGCAATGCATGGAGAGAGATCTGGCAGGTTAAATAGAGCGGCATATTAAGGAGACTCTGTTTGGTTGGTTGTAGAGTGGCAAGGGGGCGTTATGTATGAATGCAGCATAAGTGCTCGAGTTGACTGCCTGAACTAGCTCGCAGGCTTCGCCCCATTAAATGTTGCCCTTCCTAGAAGACTGCACCAACTTAATTTGAGTCTGCAGTGGGTAATTGTTCAATTGGAATCACAAGAAAAGCTTAACAAACCACCGATTTCAGGATATTTAATCAAAATATGATGCATGTAAGATATTATTTGAATAAATAAAGTCTAATTTCATGCATGAAAAGAGGGACTATGTTTGCTGGTATACAAATACAAAGGTGTAGGTGTACTGCAATTGAGTATTTTATGTTTACATTGAATTTACCCAATGCTGACATGAAGATACTGTATATATTTTTTGCCAAAGGATCCCAACTGTTAGATTATAAGCTTAGCATTTAGCCGGAATACTCTCCAACTGTTTTTCAGTAAACCATATCTATGTTTTGAATATACATTATGATGTCAGTTTAACATTAAAGGTGGGGTAGGTAATTTTGGAGAAACCAGCTCGAGTGCTCTAGAATTTGAAAATACACAGCCGGAAACAATCTGCCACTTCCTTACAGAGCCCCTCCTCCAACACATACAAACACGCACATGACCAATGAGGGCACGAGATAAGTTTGTGCACAGATGGAAGGCTGACAGGCAGGTAGGCCATCCAGTTATTTTAGCCGGGCCGGCTAAAATGATTGGTCGTGCTTTTTACAGCACTACGGCTTCCACAGATGACTTTTTTCCATGTATTTTTTGTCAAAGCACTTCAGATATTCATTGCTATCGGGATGTTAAGAGCATTCCATGGAATATAACAAAAAGTGTATCTCGAGCCGGTTTCTCAAACTTACCTATACCCCACCTTTAAGTGGAAAATACGAGGGGTTGTTTTCACCACATTTTTAATTTATGTTGCAATAAAAGAAAAACTGCCCACTACTTTGCATGTGGATGAAGTGGATTTTGTGTAAAAGTGCTTCATTAATGAATCATAATGCATCAAGGTCCAACAATAGTGTGCATTAGGGCAATGCATCTTCACTGAGTCGTGCTTTATTAACCAGTATCTTTCATCTGTCTTCTCTTTCATTAGGGATGTGTGGTTCAGAGATGAATTTGACCATTAGCTATGTGTTAGAATTCATGAATATTTACTTTAGCTGGCACCAAATCAAATGAAATATTTTTTCCACTTCATTCAATGCTGTATCTTATTAAGAATGGGCATAGTGTATCATTAATATGTCATGTCGTTAGACAGTAGCCTTTCATCCCACTCTGAAATGAGAGGCTTTAATCGTGCTTTCTATTTATCCTTATTATGCACGTGGTGACTCAACATACAGTGTTTCCGTGTATTCACACTAATCCTCATCTGTTCATTGTACATATGCAACTATTAACATTTTTTTTCTTTTGCAAATAAGTCCTTATTCACTCTGAGACAGTAGTTGTTTGGAATGTGATTATGTGAGAGTAGAACCCATCAATCCGTGGAGATAAGACAGCCGCCCCGGAGCAGTGGATTACAGCCAAATGAGTCAGTCTGTGGTGGAAAACAGCACCAAGTAACTCTGCCCACTACCCGACTACCACTTTGTTCATGACTCCGCTGCCAGCTGAGAGTGAGTCATCTGTTATTGATGCTTGTTTACCCCCAGCCGAAGCTTTGTGGAGAACCACTGGATTGAGATCCTCACATGCATCAGTCACAGTGTGAGCAGCTACACTTGAAACACCTTCACCTCTATCCAACATTTGTCTGCAAACTATTCCAGCAACCCAAAGAATGATGTCAGATTCGGGCCATTTCACACATCGTGATTTACATCCAATGCAAACGTTTTATGGCAATGAGAGGTGGGAAGTAGGAGTGTGAAGGTCGAGGTGCAGCTCCTCTGACTTTCATGCAAGAAAGTCAGAGCAATAGCTTTTCCATTGCCGTAATCATATTTGCCTAACTACCTAAACTATATTGTGACGAGAGGGGTGGAAGTAACACATGACAAATATCTGCATTATTATAACAAAATCAGGGATAATTTTGTACGTGATTGAGTATTATTTTTTTCATTTTATGGTGGTATTCTTGTGTTAGATTTGTGTAAGACAGTGAGAACAAAGGCCACATAAGTCATGATGAAGTGTGTGAGAATAATCAAAAAGAATGGTATATTTTAAATAAAATGTATTTATAGACCCATATCACAGTTCCTCAAGAGGCTTTGAGACATCAACTGTCAGGATTCGGGAAAAGGTAGGACCCAGATGTAGTATAAAAAAGACAAAAAGGTCAAGGAACAAAAGGCGAGCTTTATTTAAAAAAAATGATGACAAAAAAAACATGACATAAAATAATCAGGTAGCACAAGTTAGTATCAAAACAAAAACTGACCGTGACCAACATGGAGGGAGACGGGAAAGACAATGAACCGACAAGGAGCACAGGGGAAGACAAGACTAAATACAAAGAAGGGTAATCACAGGACAAGACACAGCTTGGCAGGGGAGGCAGAAACACAAGGGCAACAGGTGAACACAATCAGACAATCAGACACAGGAGGGAAAACACAGGAAGGAAGACAAAACACAGGAGAGGCTTCTCAATACTCTAATTTCCCCTCCTCGACTCCTATCCTCGAGACTTAAGCTGCGTTTCACTTCGGTTAAATGGATTCCTTGCGTCCCTCACTTGCGTCGTTTCCCTGCGACTAGTCCCTCCCACCAGGGAAGCATGGAGAGACGCAAGGAAACCACGAGAAGCAGGGAAATGAGTTTTAAGAGCAATGGGACGTCCTTTCCTCCGGAGCGTCACGTGAAGCGACGTCCATTTGTGATGACGCCGCATTGCTGATCGTCTGACAGCAGATTGCTTTCTGCACGGACCTCACAGCTGTTCTCACTGTAAACATTGCGTCACGATGAAAGCAGTTACTAAAATAATATCCAGGGAATGCATGCAGAGCTGTCATTGGCTGAGATGAGTCCGGCCGTGCGTCAAGCCTCCACCGTTCCCGGAAATGCAGGAGCCGTGAAGGACCTATCAGTGTATCCTCGGTTATAGCTCCTCCCCGATGCTCGGTTCTCGATGTGCATTTAGAGAAATTAGATGTCCTTCAACATGGCGCGCTGAAATCCATTTCCGGGTCACTACCGGAGGACCAAGGAGTCGAGGAGGGGAAATTATGGTCCTTCTCAGGTCGATTATCTTCATTTCCTCGCTCCTCGGTCCTCGGTATCACCGGAAGTTGATTTGTCTGCGCCATCTTGAGTATCGTCCCATGGCGCTTATTTCTGCCGGGGGACCGACGATCGAGGAGCGAGGAGTGATAATGGAGGAGCGATAACCGAGAAATCACCAGACCATCCTCCGATGAAATCCATGATACTCGCTCCGCCCCCTTACTGTGTATCGCTCACTGATTGGACGATGCAGCGCATGCACTGATCTGATGCTTCTTGACATGAGAGCAGTTTCCCAGCGGAGTGAAGAAAATACATGAAACTCACGAGAGTCACTCCTCAGTCTATACCATGTTTTGTTTCAATTACTGTATCATTTAGTTACAAATATGTGATATGTCTGAACAACAAAGTGTTCAACAATTATTTTATTCATTTATTGGAAACATTTTCATGATCGCATTTTTCGTTTATACATTTTAAGAATGGCGTTTATCTTTTTTGAGAATGAGTTCTTATTTTATTTAATGTATTTGGGTCTACAACAGATGATACAAATGTTTCTGTCAGTAATGTGCACTAACAGTGGCGGGGGTGTGTGTGGAAATAACGGGGACAGAGCTGCTGTCAGACGATCAGCTGCTGTCAGACGATCAGCTGCTGTCAGATGATCAGCTGCTGTCAGACGATCAGCTGCTG